TATGGGAGCTATAAAATATATTAAATATAATATATTCAAACAGTTTTGAATATTTTAATTATTTAATTGGCCAAGCGATCTTGTCATTCCATTAGAGACAAGTTGCTATTCATTCCGTTACAGGACGTATGATCCAAACCACCCTCTAACGTCATCATATTTACTTGATTTGACATGAGAGCTGTACAATGTATTTGATATAGTATATTTAAACAGTTTTGAACATTTCATTTATTTAATTGGCCAAGCGATCTTGTCATTTTTATTGAGACAGTCGCTCTTTTATTCCATTACAGGGCGGTATGACCCAAACCACCCTCTAACTTTATCCTATTCACTTGATTTGACATATGAGCTATTAAATATATTTAATATAATGTATTCAAACAGTTTTGAACGTTTCAGTTATTTAATTTGCCACGCGATCTTGTCATTTCATTAGAGACAAGTCGCTCTTCATTCCATTACAGAACGGTATGACCCAAACCACCCACTAACGTCGCTATATTTACTTGATTTGACATGGGAGATATAGAATATATGTAGTAAATTTTAATTACTAATTCGCCAAACGATTGTTATTGTTATAAGTACGCACAGAGGCTATTGCTGATATGAACGATGCCTGAATATCATATACATGAAACTATGTCCTGTTTATAGCGACGTTATATCCATCTCATTAGGCGTTGAATTACGTCACCTTCGGTGGTCGTTTAATTTATTCAATAACGTATATCGCCCGGCAGGCAAATGGGTTTTTAAGCTGAACCTGTATTTGGAGTCAATACAAAATATTTTGATGCATATTGTTTACTGAGACGATAGACAAGATGAATTGGTATGGTGGCATGACTTCATCCTTGGGCATTTTTTTCTAATTTTGCATAAATCCGAAATGGTCATCACGATACCATAACACGGCATATCAACACCTCCAATCAATATTTGTTTGTGATTTAAAAAGCGACATTCTTGTTAAAAGGTACTAGAATGTCTCTTGAGCGAATCATGTGATCATTTTAACATTCCTTATTTGCATAACTTCAAGATGACCGCATTAGTATTATACTCTTGATTTTCTAGTGATTAGAATTTTGTTTAGTTCAAAAGTTAGTATAGTATTTGTCAGATACGGGAAGAATCTGTATTAGTGGTATTTTTAATTCCTGCTTGAATTTTTTATATTTGAATGGCTATAATATACACATATAATAACATTAAAGTGCCTGTGATATACCTGCTATTTTTTGCTAAAATCATTTATTGGTGCATCAATATCAGTATTTTTTACGTTATTAAGTATAAAATAAATTTTTAAAGTGAAAAAATGGGTTTCAAATGGAAGTTTCAAATGTTATTTTAATGTATTTTAAAACGAGGCTATTCATTAACTCCTCATTTGCATACTAGTACTCAAATACCCCTTGTGACGTATGAAGGGGAACTTGCGGGTCAGCGTACATTGCCACTAATGTATATAAGACACATTTCTTATTCAATTTTCTCGCCCTTGACTAAATTGCTACTCAGGTATTTGTTTCTCGAGGATGAGTGGACCATATAGACCACATATTATCGTTATAAGTTTGTTGTACAGGGTTGAGTTGGATACGAAATATATCCTTTCTGACGCACCTGGTCGCCGCGATCAACCGTGTACTCTATAATCACAGTCACTTGTAATGTGGTCGATGAAGTCGGTTGAAGTGCCGACATCCATTGCCGTAGAACTCTCAACGATCGCTATGTCTATGTTGATTCGAGTTATCGCGATTGTCATAATTACGACACTGCATTAAAGAATACGTGGTCGCAAAATATTGACGCAGATCAAATTGCAAGAAAAGATCACAGAAGTGTGAAATCAACATCAATCAAAAAACAATTCAGAAAATTGTACACAGCATAATTAAAAACAATTGCGTGTGAGTGCTGCGTGATTTCCTGTAGACGCATCGGTTTTCGCGTCACGTCATTGCTAACTCTTACATAATACGAACTATATGGTCTCTTCAAAATATTATCCAGAATCCCAAAAAATTTGAAACACTTTGAAACCCGACCTTTCTCTCCCTTTGAAAGCCACAGCGTTGAACATAGGCTGGTTCTCTGAAAAGTGTTAGTACTGTCCCAAGTATTACTGTCCAAGTTGTTCTTTTATAAATGAGGGTAATTGTTCCGCGTGGGAGTCTATGGTATGACGGTATAAAGAGAATGTCCATCCCAACTTTTTTTCATTGATTTTAGGGCTTTCGTCTACTGATGTTACACCTTCGAATCGTTTGAAAACGCGTAAATTCTCACACCATTGCGCCAAAAATATAACGTTTAAAAAAACGCCTATCGAAAAATATATATCATTAATATTATTGTTAATTGACGCAGTATTATAAAAGTATAGTACAAGAGCATGGCTTCCTCACATATTTTGGTGTTTGGTGGAGCACTTTTCACTCGGCTAGAGTCGGAAAGCCGGAAACAGTCGACTGGTTCAGGATCAGTGGGCGTGGCTAAAACACGAGAAATATCTCAAATTTACTTTTTCAACCAAAAAATCTATAATTATCTATTTCAGTGGAACACAAATCCAAAAGCGGTAAATGTGTGGTTTGGCATTTCACAGTCACAGAAATGTTCATTGTAGAAATCATGACTATTAGCATAAATATATAATAAACAATCAATAACATATTCCACAACTTACAAAATATACTGGTTCCAATAATAAAAACTAAATGCATGCTAGTGCACAGCTAGCTGAACATGTTGTAACAATATGTCACATTCACATATAATACATGGTAGTCATTTTACTTTATACAATCATGCATTTTTGGTACAGGATACTCTCACGTGAATAGCTATATGAAATGAAATACTATATTGGAACACGCACCGCTCATCAAGTATTATTAAGACTTGGTAATTTCATCACACATTCAACAGTGAAGTATAATATTTAGTGCCGGTGTACCATGCTTAAAATACATGTTTCATCACAAGAGCTTGCAAGTAAAAACGTTCCCCTTTTCAGTTGTGGTGGTAGTAGCGTTTTGTGTTGACATGCTATGTTTGCGAACTTTAACTTAACCTAAAGGAACATATATGGGCATCAGTTTTTGTGAATTTAAGACAGGTAATTCTGCAGTAGATTCATCGAAAATTCTTCCAATATTATACACATAACCACAAAATTGTTATTACTGGATGTAGGTATACCCACGAAGAGATAAGTCATGAAGGAGAAGTGATCCAGCATCAGCATATCTCAAATTCTCATGTAAAGAAATATTAAATGATTACGCAACAAGTAGTGATGAATGTAAAGCTAAATAGATGTACATGCATAAGGTATCGGCAGTTGATACTTATCATTTGTACTATGTATTTATCCATCTCATACTTCACTATTGAGAGCCACATCTTCATGTATAAACTGTAATTAACACCGGAAATACACAACATAGCACAATACCTAAGTGTTGTCCGTGTATGCACTTCGACATATTTAGGTGTTATTTTAAAATTAAAGAAAGTTCGTCATAAAACACATTTAAGATGGATAGCTATTCAATGTCATAACATAGCAATGTCCATGTATTCCAACCTATCATAGCAACAGACTAGGCTACAAAAGCTTATAAAGAGAAATATTACCTGCAACAGAATTGCAAGATCGTGTATGGGAACATGAAACACCAACGCTAGATTATGTAATGCAATTACTATTTC